AGCAACAACAGCGACAACAACAGCAACAATAACAACAACAACAATAACAGCAGCAACAACAACAACAACAATAACAGCAGCAACAACAACAGCAACAATAACAACAGCAGCAACAACAACAACAACAGCAACAATAACAACAGCAGCAGCAACAACAACAGCGACAACGGCAACAATAACAACAGCAGCAACAACAACAACAACAGCAACAATAACAACAGCAGCAACAACAACAGCGACAACAACAACAGCAACAATAACAACAGCAGCAACGACAACAACAACAACAGCCGCAGCAACAATAACAACAGCAGCAACACCAACAACAACAACAGCAGCAACGACATCAGCAGTAACAACAATAGCAGCAATGACAACAACAGCAGCAACAACAACAGCAGCCACAACAACACCACAACAGCAACAACAGCAGCAGCAGCAGCAACAACAACAACAACAGCAGCAAGAACAACAACAACAACAGCAGCAAGAACAACAACAACTGTAGCAACAGTAAAAACAAAAACAACAACAGCAGCAGCAGCAAGAACAACAACAGTATAGCAACAACAACAAGAACAACAACAGCAACAGTAAAAACAAAAACAGCAACAACAACAGCAGCAACAACAACAATGATCAAATACTTCAGCTCTAATAACTTTTTAATCACAATTTTTTTTTAATCATTACATTTGAACGAAATTTCTATTCCACCCATGACCTAATTACGTTTTTAATGAATGCACCATGTAAAAATTTCCAAGTCCCAATAACATTTCACTTATTATTAAACCTAATCATAACTTTTATCAGGTCCAAATAACGTTTAAGTTCGATTTTCAAGGTTCTTAACTGTTTCATTGTCACTTTTTTTAAACTACTTTAAGACGATAAAGTTTTAGAACCTCGTGAGCGGTTAGAGCTTTTTTAAACAATTTCATTTCGTCAAAGTATCCTGTATAGCCATTACTACTAGAAATTACTATCGCAAGGAAAGTGCTGCCTCCCCCCCCCTTCCATCACATAAACACGAAAAGCACCCCTAAGACACCTGTTCAGGTGGTAGAAAAAGTGCAATGTGAATATGAAAACACTTTGCACAAAATCGAAGCTCAGCTAAATATTCCAATTGTATTGACTTCCACAAATTCCCTACTCTTCAAGAAATTACTTCCTTGAAAATTCCTTCATTCTAAACAAAGATTAAGGACTTTGTGAAAGTCTACAGGTCATGCTATGCAAGTTTTTAATGATTTGCATTATTCAAATTGATGCAGGTTTATTGGCATATCATAACCAGTTGCCATGGCTAGCTTGCCACCGAATACTGTACAATATCATATTCTAAACAAAGATGAAGGACTTTGTGAAAGTCTACAGGTCATGCTATGCAAGTTTTTAATGATTTGCATTATTCAAATTGATGCAGGTTTATTGGCATATCATAACCAGTTGTCATGGCTAGCTTGCCACCGAATACTGTACAATATCATATATAACAAATGATAATAATTAATACTTAAATGAATCATTTGATATGCAGAATTTAATAACAATTTCATACATAGAAATACTACCAGTAAGTCAGTTTTTGCCTCAATTATCGTTTTAATTAATGGTACTTTCAAAACTACCACTACCGCAGAGCAACAGAACAATCTGCCGATGGGGAGACAAAATCTATTTTGTTGACATTTTTGTTTAATACGTCAGCTTCATATGACACCATTCATTGTGTAAATGATTAAGATTGCAATTGTTTAATATGTCAGCTTCATATGACACCATTCTTTTTATAAATGATTAAGATTGTACTCAGTCAGAACTATAATATAATAAGAAAGAAATTGTGAGCATTATGGACATCATACTGCTCATTTGACCTTATGCATAATGATGTCACAAGGCTTGATGCCTGCGAGGAATGCTGGTCTTAAGCTATGGGCAAACTAGGAAACGTTGCAGAAACATTTGTGATTCTCGATGTTTCCTCAGACGTTTCCCTGTTCACCCACCCTGTTCGTCCACGCCTGTTCGTCCTGTTCGTCCGCAACAACGTTTCCTAGTTTGCCCAGGACTTTAGTAGTAATCGCCCAGGAAAATTAAACAATCCAAAATGGCCACTATCGAAATTTTCCTGGCCATCAAGCCTTAAGACGTCATTATGCATAAGGTCTATTGATTTGATATACAGACATTACAGTAAAGCCTTGCCCTCGCATAAAAGAACCAGTAGGTTAAGAACCACTAGCCTGAAATTTGGGCAATTGAGCACCCAAAATACAATGTGTTGAATATAGAAAAGTATAGTGTGAAGTAAGACAATATACGAACCACTTCAGCCTGAAGTCAAAATTCACTGGTTCTTTTATACACGGCTTAATTACTGCATATCATATTCCCATAATTAAATAATAATATCAATAATCATTTTACTGTAATATAATAAATATATATATAGCTATTTTTATTGGCAATTTTCTAATTTACATACAACCTACATATTTGTAAAATTTGATATACAATACCTTGTTGGCTTGATCTTTTGACAGAATCAGTATACAAGTAATACAACTTTATTATTGCCAACCGTCGACGATTGCCCAGCTAGCAAGATCACAACCTCGCTAGTATAAAGTATAAAATATAGCTAGTTCACACATAGCTAGCAAGTTTGGTACAGTTACAGCGAGTTCACAATTCACTGCTTTTTTGAAAAACATAATATGAACGGCTCCTTTTGACTTGACCAAATGATCGCCACGAACACACAACAAAATATACACCTAGAGGAGATAGAATTCGAATTTTTATAATGTATTTATAAAAACAGACTATCACGTTCATTTACATATATAAATGAAAGTATTCAAACGTTCAAATAACTATTTTTATCAACATACCTTCAAAAATATAATTCTTTTGATAGTTTTCCTCCAAAATCAAATAGTAATATTGTAAAATAAGCCTCGTGCAATGGAAAAATATGCGACATTGCCATATGGTCATGTCAAAATTAAATGTCATAGCTCCTATGAAGCTACGGCGCACCGAACGCAGCTTTCGGAAGTGATCGGATTGTCATCGTAAACTTCCTGCGTATATAAATTTGTACACAACGTCATTCGAATTCTGTGACGTCAGAAAATGCGACCCGAATGATCGACAAACAAATCTCAAATGCTTTGGCTAAAATACATAAGTCGCGCGGGGATCTGGCACGAGTAAAAACTGTAAACGTTGTCAAGAATAGGTGGCTGCCATCGCTTCGCTCGGCAGCAATTACGACATATTCGTAACAAATAATTCGACTACATAAATTAACAGTCGCTAGATTACAACGATTCCAAATATATATATATATATATATATATATATATATATATATATATATATATATATATATATATATATATATATATATATATATATATATTATATATATTATTATATTATATATTATAATATATTATATTATTATTTTAATTACTTATATTACTTATTATTTACTGATCATTAGTTGCCATCAGTTGCTAAGCAACTTACCTTCATTTTTACCGCAAGAAATTCGACGCAAATACCACTTCGATAAATATTCGGTAAACCGCATTTTGGACTGAATTTAAAGAGACAAACAATATTAACATAAGACATCGAAAAGGCAAAAGCGAAGATTTTAATCGAAGAAACGACTCAATTGATGTTTCAGGTACTGCGCTAGTACGTTTAGTCCTCAATTTTAATACCCCTAGCTGTGTGGAAAAAACAATCTGCCATATTTGTTGATTAAAATTGATTTTATCATTGATAAAATGTATACACCCTTGAACAGGAGAACACTTTGTACAGAAATAATAGAGAAACCACAAAATGTAAATGAAAAAAAACGATAAAAATATCGAGAAATTTCACAAATATTCAATGTCATGCGATTTTAATATTTTATAGTGTATATCAGTTGTATATAAAACTTGTTGACTCATGAGCCAGTACTATTAAACGTACTAGCGCAGTACCTGAAACATCAATTGAGTCGTTTCTTCGATTTTGCCTTTTCGATGTCTTATATTGCCGAATTATCGAAGTGGTATATTTTGCGTCGAATTTCTTGCGTTAAAATGACGGTAAGTTGCTTAGCAACTGTTGGCCGCCATCTTGGATCAGGCTTGGTTACAAGGCAAAGTCGAAAAAAGTGAGCCCAAAATATTATTCTGCGAGCGGCGGCGAGCGGTGAGCATAGATATAGGAGATCTAGATTGCTAACGCATACCTAGCGCAGGTGGGGCCTACATGATAAATCCAAGATGGCGGTACAACAGGGCAAAAAGACTATAAATTGTATTACGAAAATCAGGATTTTTGCAATTTTTGCCGTCGCATTGTTTTGAAACTTATTCGGTCAAATTTTATGGTAAAGAGAAACTTACCGCGAAGATTTTGAGCATATATATAATTGAATTGGATGAAAACTCGCAAAATTATCCAGCGATAAAAGTTCGTGTATAGTACTGATATAGTACTATATATGTAACTTGTACAGTTTTGCTTTAATTTTTGCTCACTATTTGCATAAAAAGCAAATTATAACAGACCATAGATGATAGACCCTCATCCAGTGCTCTCATCAGTTTACTTCTCTAACAAGCAAGGAGGGGGGGGTTCATAGCAGTTCATTTTTCATAATTATGAGGACAGAGCAGATGATGAGAGATGCAAGTATAAAACACCATTCACAAGGCTAGATGTTAACATAGCACATATTTCTGGCAATGGGTCATTCCAGAAAACATCCATACCACCCCCACGGAGGAAATAGGAAGTTAACCCCCTTACCCCCTTCGGACGTCCTAACACATTTACTATTATCAGAAACAATTTTTTCTCCCCTCCCCCTCCGGACGGCAGAAATTTCCTCCGTGGGGGGAGTATGGATCTTTTCTGGAATGACCCAATAAAATGCTCCAACTGACAATTTCACAGGAACTTTTATCGCTGGATAATTTTGCGATTTTTCATCCAATTCAATCATATATATGCTGAAAATCTTCGCGGTAAGTTTCTCTTTACCATAAAATTTGACCGAATAAGTTTTGAAACAATGCGACAGCAAAAAATGCAAAAATCCTGATTTTCGTAATATAATCTATAGTCTTTTTGCCCTGTTGTACCGCCATCTTGGATTTATCATGTAGGCCCCGCCTGCGCTAGGTATGCGTTAGCAATCTAGATCTCCTATATCTATGCTGAATACAGACCTTCGTTTTGCTCGCCCTAAAATTTGCAGGTGGGAGGCGCAAAACGAAGGTCTGATGAAATTATGTCAAAACGCTCTACCGCCCACTTTGCATTTTGCAATAATTAACGATGATGATTGACATATTTACATGTAACACCTAAAAATACAACGAAAGTTGTCGATTCACTTATTGAAAGTTTGTAAACAAAGTAAGAGTCTGTATTACAGACGTTTGAATAAATATGAAAAATATTTGTAACCCCAAGCAGTATGTTGCTTTTATGTACTCTTAACCCTTGCACTCAAACAGTTACGGCTAGTAATAATACAACATTTCAACACATTCTATAAATGCAATAAAATCTGCGTACGCAAATTTGGCAATGGCCATGTCCCATTGTTGAATTGCATCCAAACAGGACCGAACTCTTACAATTTATACATTTTGAAACCGCTATACAATGCTAAAATCTAAATAAAATATATTGTACGTGCTATGTTATCGAAATGCAAATTTAAACACACTATTGCACTGACACATAGGCCTATGTGTATAATTGTATCAGTTTTATTATGATTATCACAAAACGTAAATAGTGTAAAAATTATTGTATTATAAGCCTATATTACAACGGAATGACACGACGCTGAAGTATTTGACAAGTCTGCTCTACTCTCGCTCTAGTTTTAATTTTAGACGGTAGATACTGTTAGCTATTTGTCGTTCGGCTTCACAAAATATTTAGAATATTACATTATATGCATAGTATATGCGTTGAGAATACCGTTGAAATTCAAATCTTTTCATGTTTAGCGACCAACCAATCACAACCCAATTCCCTGTGAATTAGCCAATCAGCTATTCTGACCACCAGGCGGTCGGATTTCACAGCGTTTTGACATGATTTTCATCAGACCTTCGTTTTGCGCCTCCCAACCGTGAATTAAGGGCGAGCAAAACGAAGGTCTGTATTCAGGCTAAGTTTCAGATGGCATGCAACATGTACGCACTGCGTACCTATTTTTTATGATATTGAATTTTTTAAATAAAAAAGAAAGCAGAGTTATTTGCAAGCGAGAATTTGAAGTAATTTTATTGCAAACTCAAAGTTTATCGATAAAGCCATTCTAAAAGGCAGTTTAGTTATCGATAATTCTAAAAGGCAGTTTAGTTTTATAAAACTAAACTGCCTTTTAGAATGGCTTTATCGATAAACTTTGAGTTTGCAATAAAATGACTTCAAATTTTAAAAAACGTTTTAAAAAACATTTTGCGAAGCGTTTGTGGTTGAATTTTAACCTTAAATTGAGGCTTATATTACGTATAATAACATACCTAACATATAGACGTTGGGAAATTAATAATTTTGTAATTAAAAGTGATATTTTTTAGGCGATTTTTCATTTGTAAGAATATTCTTAAAAAATTATCGTGTTACCATGACAACTACTTCAGATACTTCATGTTCGGAAAATACAATGGTTTTGTCTGTTTGTCAGCAAGGCGAGGGTTTCTGCATGCATGTATTTTCTAGTAATGAGTTTATCTCATAGCCAATAGAAAATGTCTATCATACGAATGAGTACGAGACTGCCCGCGTTCAGTTAATGAGGCTATTCGTTCGTTCTCGTGCTACGGTGCAGGTTAACAGTAAGCTTTTTATTATTTATATGGCATTGTACGTTTGTAAAAAATGGGGAAAAATCACGCGAGGGCAAAGTAGTAGTACAAAGTCCGAAACATTTGGGAAAAAAACAATTGTAAAACCAATGTTCTCTTGGTTATAGTAAAAGTACTCTACAGCACTTTTTAATTTAAGGAGTTTGAACAGGACTTGCGTCCCAAGCTATTGCAACAGAACTCCAAAAATATCGGAGAAACAACAATACATTATAAAGTCAAATAAATAAATAAATAGATAAGCGAGTAGGTAATACTATACTAAGAAGGACAATTGTCCAAACACTTAGATGAATAAAAGTTATAAATGGCAGTCTTGAATGTTCGAATACTTCGAATGGATTCGCATTGTTTCACCTGAGATGGCAAAGTGTTCCAGAGTTCGGCTGTTCTTATGAAGTAGGATTTCCTGTAATAATCTTGCTTATGCTTTATAATTAGAATATAGTTATTTATATCATAATTACGTGTTCGATACCCGGGCTCAAACACTGTCAAAAATTTATGAATGTCGGTGGTTACCAAGTCATTTCTCGATTTAAAGAAAAATGTTAAGTCTGAAATTTGTCTACGGTGTTCTAAAGGCAATAAGTTTAGTTTGATCAATCTATCAATATTCTTCATATCTTCAGGATAGTTTAGAATAAACTTGGTAGCTCTTCTCTGGACATTTTCAATTAATTTCGCGTATTTCTTGGTGTAAGGCGACCAAAGACTACTACCATATTCCAGCTTGGGTCGTACAAGAGCACAGTATATTATTTTTCTAGTCTGCATATCTTGCAAATCACGGAAAATCCTTTTCATTAGCCCAAGGGTCCTGTT